GGAAAATCATTTCTCTTTCTAGGGGGGAAAATAGCCCTACTTGAAACAATAGAGGGAAGTCTACAGCTCTTCCCATCAACATCAGTAGTTTGGTAATAACAGTGTATTTGGTTTAGGCATTTGTAATGGTGCCAAACATTTCCACAACTGGTGCTTTGTGTTACTCAAATCAGCTGCTAGTAAAGGCTTAAATTTTCAAGATAATATTTGACATCCACTCCCTGGCTTTGCCAATGATGCACCAGAGAGGACAATTCCAATGTGTCTTACACAGCAGTCTGAAGCTCCCCAAGTTAGCAGCCCAGTGTCCTGCCAACAAGGTGACAAGATAAATAACAGGCATAAACCATTTAAGACTTTATAAACTAACCAGCACCTGGAACTAATCCCAGAAGCAGACAGTACTCTGAACACTAGTGTCGTCGCAGAAGCTCGCTCGGTATAAGAGAAGCTGCTGTATTCAGCACAAAGTGAAGCTATTAGGTGCTTCTCGGGTAGCCCCAAGCAGAAATGTGATGTGCTGCAAGTTGGACTCTTTGGATACATCTCTCCTTCTCTCTCTCTCTTTGTTTATGAGGTGCTTATCTCTGTGGTATTTGAACATGCATGTCTCTAAGGCAGAAATAAATCTGCAGAGGTGTGTGTATTACATACCTGTTAAGCTAGTGTGTCTGTATATTGGATATGCAGTGTTGTTGTAGTCCTGTTGGTCCCACTTTATGCCTGTGTATCCAGTATACAGAGACATGTTCTCCAGGGACAAATCTAAATAGAGAGAGGGCCAGATCCTCCGGTGGTGCTAATTGGTGTCGCTTCATTGAAGTCAATGGAGTGTCACTGAATTATACAGAGGATCTGTTTCATTGTGTCTCATAGGTCAGTCAAAGCTTAGAGGCTTTTCAAAAAACAAAAACCTTTTAGCAGGACTTGTATTTGACATCCGATTTAAATGCAAATACATAAGACAACTGCTGCAGGTATAAAAATCAACAATGTTGGCACTACGCTGCTTCACGGGCTTTAAACTAACGCCTTGACAATGAACATGCATGTGATAAGCTCATGTTGTTGCGCTTTAGGCCCTTAATTAAGATTGGCTTTTAAAGTAATGAAGCTAAAGTTATTGCTGCTCCACTGTGTTTCACACAGTGTGCGAGGTAAGGACTGGCTTTGTTATTTGGAGCGGTTATCTAGGTGCCTCACGTTTGAAGAGGAGATCAGTAACCGATCCGGTTAACCTAGAAGAATATTTCCTTTGGCTGTCCATGGTGGTGAATCTCTAGCAATATCGCCTAGTGTCCTCTTTATTTCTAACCTCTCTTTTCTGCCTACCTATCAGCTCCCATTGCTTTGCCTTGCCTCCATCAAGGAGAGAGACATCTGTCGTTTCTGGGCTACTAAATGTATCAGCAAGTAGAAGATGTCTGACTTCCTATTACCCCTGTTATTCCCTGCCATCTTTTCCCTTGGCTCTGAGTGCAGTGTCTTCTATAGCCTAGTTTCCACAGGTTTCAGAGTAAGATTCCCAACTCTTATGTGTAAGGTACTTGTCTAGCACCAATCACTGTAGTATGCTGTTGCTGAATCCAGGAGCCAGACCACCTACATGGAAGCAGCAGAGACTAGGCCTAGACTAGAATGGTGTTTAAGCTATTTTATAGGCCCGTAAAACGTACCCTGTACTGGAGAACTTCTTCGTCCCGTTTTTGCTTCATGAGCATGATCTGTTCTTCCAGATTTCTGTTCTGCAGCCGCAGCCTGCAGGCCTCTCCCTGCAGTGGTCTCAGTGTCTCCTTCAGCCCCTGAATCTCTCCCTGTGTTTGTTGCAAAGCCTTAGCACTGGCTTCTCTCCTTTCTAAAAGGCACACGAGCTGCGGCTCATAGTGTTTCTCCAGGCCCTGGCGGCTCTCTGCCACAAAGCTCTCGAACTCCATGGAAAGCCTTCGGCTCTCCTGCAAGTAATGGCTATCCCCCCGGTACGGGGGCATCTCCAGACGCTGCCTGAACTGTTCCTTCTGCTTTTCACAAGTCTCTCTCAGCTGCGATATTTCCTCGGAAAGCTGGCCGACCCTGGTTTCCAGTTCAGCCCGATAGACCGCATACTGGGCCATGTCACGCCGTCTGGTTTCCAGCTGGTACTGGCAAGCCACACACTCTCTGGTCACCTTGAATAGCTTCTGCTTGACTTGTCGGATCTCATTTCTCAGATTGTCCCGCTCCAGCTCCACCTTGGCCTGCAGTCTGTAGGCTGCCAGTATCTCCTCATGAGCTTGTCTGATTTCTTGAAGGGCAGGTTCCCGGAGCAGCGTGAGTTCCTGGATGAGGCTATCCCTCTCCTCCTCCAGCTGCTCCACTGCCTCAATGCATTCCTGGAAATGCTCTCCCAGCTCCTCAATGCTCAGAGTCTGGGGCTCTGCAACATCTAAGTCCAAGGGAGCATCTGCGCCATCCACATGCTGCTCCAAGGGTGCGCCTTTGTTGTTCAGCTCCAGAGGGGCATTTGTGACATCCATACGTAGCTCCAAGGGGGCATGTGCAACTTCAGGCTCCAACAGGGCATCTGTAGCGTCTCCCTCGAGCTCTAAGCATGTACCTGCTTCGTCCACGTGCAGCTCCAAAGGGGGTTCTGAATCTGCCATCAGGTCCCTGGAAATGAGAGATGAAGCATGAATGAGAACAACATTCACTGAGAGTTTCCACCTTCCCTTTCCCTCGCCGAAGGGTTAAGGAATGGTTCCTCAAGCGGGTTCCCCTGAACCGGGAACATTAATGGTATGTCAAGCTAGCACCTGCTTCTGCTGCAGGGCCCCATCTCTGCTGCTCTTAGCTGCCTTTGCACACGTAAGACACCCTTCCTGTCCTTTACAAGAGACCATGCTCTCAAACGCACAAGCCGCTTCAAGCATGAAGGCTACAGTATTGGTTGGAACTGATGCATTGTGCATGGTCTTACACCAAGTTTGCCCTTAAAAAAAATCGAAGAGGTTTAACAAATAAAATAAAAAGTGCCATTGGCTCGGATGGATGGGGAAGAAGAGAGACCCAGTGGTACCCAGCCTCCCAGAACTGTAGAGCCACTTCATCCAGTGGAACTGCAGGGAGTTACAGAATAAACAGCCCAGGACAATACATTGCGAAGTTGCACTACCATGATTGGTCAGGTAGTAAAACTTCACTAATGATGCAAACCGTTATCCCATGGCAGGATGTGACCAGTGAGTGACTCTGCTGAAACCCTGGCACATAGACACTATGGGGACTGTTGCATTGTAAATACCAGGGTAGATGTATCCTTTTGTTTCCTGGCTGCTGGTAGTAAGACTGTTTCTGATCACTCCTTGTTGCCTCATAGGAAATAGACCAAATGGTCCTGATCTAGTTACTCATTGTTTCTTCACACTGTCTTGCGCCACAAGCACAGAGGATCCTACCGGAATGTCTGTGGGCATATGTACCCCGAGACCAACACTCGGCTACACTTTTTTGTTTGCATGAGTGAAGGTGTTTGCTGCTAGAGGTTGGGTGTGGAAACACATCTCTATTTTTCTGCTGTAGTTGGTACGTGAGCTGGTAGCTAGATGCTGTAGGGATGGGTGCATTAAACATGCCTAGATTCATATTATTGCTTGTCAAACTGTATTTCTGTCAGGCTACGTCTACACTAGAAACTTCGAAGTGCTGCTGCGGGAGCGCTCCCACGGCAGCGCTTTGAAGTGTGAGCGTGGTCACACGCGAGCACTGGGCGAGAGCTCTCCCAGCGCTCCTGGCAATCCACCTCCATGAGGGGAATAACTCCGAGCTCTGGGAGCATGGCTCCCAGTGCTCGGAGCCTGTCCACACGAGCGCTTTAAAGCGCTCAAACTTGCTGCGCTCAGGGGGGTGATTTTTCACCTCCCCGAGCCAGCAAGTTAGCGTGCTGTACAATGTAAGTGTAGACAAGCCTTGGTTAGGACGCTGAGGTGCTGCCGTACTACAAAATAATAATAATAGATGTGTCTTCCTGCCTCTCCCATGTGCTGTGACTGGAATGTATGTGCTAAGTCTGTATCTCTTTTATTTTTAGGAGAGAATTTACTACTCAGAATGATAGAAAGTCAAATGAAAGGCTTTTACTAGGTGCTGTTGCACCGAGAGCTTGTCTACAAAATGTCAGGCAGACAGCAATTCATACTGCCAAGTTATAGATTTTTTTTTCATTAAAACCTGCCTGGTTTTCTGCCATGCTGACACAGCCTCCGAGGGAGGGAATGTGCTGATGGAGTACATCCAGGCTCTCCAAGATGGCTGAGGATGGAATACAACATTTAACACAGAGTGGAGAAGCTTCAGCTTTCCCAGGTGGGATTCTTAACTCGCCTCCGCAGCTGTGAGCTGATCATTCATCCACTACAATCTATGTAAGTCCCTAATACATGTTATTGTTACAAAATGCTTCAGTCATAACTAGTCTAAACACGTGCTTTGGGGTCCTGAGGAGAGAATGATCTATTGCAAAAAGGCGTTTACATTGTCTTTTTTTTTGAATACACCCTAGAATAGGTTCAGTGGGGAAGCTGCAACCACACCCAATTTGTAGTAGAGTTAGAGAGGAAGAAAGCATGCTCGCTGCCAGCATGGATCTGAGCTAACGTCTAGTCACCTAGAAATAAATTTGCGTAGGCTGGCACCATAACAGCGCTCCCCTCTGTTCGCTAAAACAGTTCTAAGATGAGAGAGAACAGATTATTTTCACGGATACGCTCCCTCTTTCCAAATAAGGCAGTTTTCTGAAATCATGACACATCCCTAGCCTCAGAAGCAGGGCGAGTGTCTCTTATTTCCCAAGGGAGAAGGGGAAAGATCATGAAAAGGTGAGGACAAAAGCAGAGCCCCTTTTCAGCTGGTACCATCAAATTTTTGGCTAATTGAACCTCTTGGTGCTCATCTGCATGTGTGGGACTAAAATCAGGAAATAACCCCTGCCACACCTGTCCTGCTGTTACAGGATTTAATCCTGAAACTGATCAACTGCCTAAAACCACACACTGCAGTCCCACCCTTCCAGATCTGGGTTTAGAGATTCACACCCACTCACCATGCCACCCCTCTTCTCTCTCTCACACACTTACTTTTTTTTCCAGTTCACACGAGGAATCTCTTACCTGGCACGTAACATCCCTTCCTTATGGTCCCGTGCTGAAGTACAATACATTCTTCAGCACAGACTAGAATGGCTGGTAGTCTGACCTGCATGTATTGACTAAGGCAAACTCCTGGCAGATCTTGTAACCTTTTCAAATGAATGAAGCTGCTGCCTGCAGGAGCCCTGCTGCCCTACATTCTGAGCAGAGCTGCTGGACTTTCTGGGTTAATCCCAGCAAGAAGGGTGAAAGTGGCTCTGCTCAGGGAAGACCCCTCCACTTTTGCCCCCTTTACCCCATCTGGTCCCCGACGAGGGAAAAAGCACAGCCCCAATTTGCAATTGTTAGCTCTCACCTTTCTCTCCAGGAGCCCAGTTCCTCGTGTTCTGGACTGGATGTGGGTGTAGCATGGGAGTGTGTATTTGCTATTAATAAAGTGTTAGAAACCAGAGCCCCCTGGCCTCCAAGCAGCAATCTCCCTTTCTTTGCCTGGGAGCCAGCTGCAATGCCAGCTGCAGACTGACACTGGATCCCTCCCAGCGTGGTCAGGGAGGAGGAGGAGGGCGGAGAAAGGGAAAACTGGCTCCTTGCTCCAGATCATTTTTAGCAGGCGGCAAGTTACAGCAAATGAGGTTGGGTCCTTCCGGAAGTCGAAGGCAGGTTATGGGCCAGGACTCGGGAGCCTGGATCTAAAACATGCCCATCCTGGGAGGCATTTGCCAGGGAAGGTGTTGGCTGGAGTTACCCTGTTCGAGACTGAGCACAAGCTCTGGGTTGCTGTGCTCCTTTGATTTTTAGAAGGATTTTGAAGGGATGGTTTTCTTTGTGCAGCCTTAAGCCCGCCCCTTCCCTGCCCTTATTGGACCCTCTTCCCTGACTGGCACAATGCCCTTACCATTCCCGGTCCAGCCATGGGGATACTTGCACAGAGAGGCAGCTGTCTGGTGAGCCGTCCATGGGAAAGCAGACAGAGTGGAATGGGTGGGATCAGTTGGAGGGTGGGGCGTAAGGGTTTGCGATGTTCGTTCTGAGTTCTTGGCCTGTGATTACCTTTAGTTAATTGAAATAGAAAATACTACAGAATTTACAACAAAAAAAAAAAAACAGCAAATCACTTAAAAATACTTGAGATTAAATGGACTTTAGGGCTGGGGCACTGCCCACTGCTGTGGCTAGGATACCGATCTGCGAGTCAGGCTCCTGGCTTCTACTCCTCCGTCTGCCCCAGACTCACTAGTTGAGCTAGAGCTAATCACTTTGGGTGACATTTTCAAAAGCACCTAAATGATTTAGGAGCCTAAATTCCACTGACGTTCAGTGAGATGTAGGTCCCTAAATTCCTTGTGACGATGAGGCTATGTCTACACTACAGGCACAGCTACGGCACTGCCGCTCTGACACTGTGGTACAGTAGTCTAGAAGGAGGGATGGAAGGAGTGTAGTTAATCCAGCCCCTCAAGAGGTGGTAGCTAGGCGGTTTTTACACCGGGGCTTAGGCTGGGTTAACTACATCTCTGAGTGTGAATTTTTCACACCCCTGACCGATGTATCTAGTTGATCTAAGTTTTAGGCCTAGACCAGGTCTTAGACTTAGACTGTAGCCAGGTGTTAGAATTAAAAGTTAGGTTGACCCAGCTACGTCACTCGAGGATGTGAAAAATTTATACCTCTGAGCAACGTAGTTAAGCCGACCTAACACCAGGTGCAGACAGCATTACATCGACAGAAGAATTCTTCCATCAACCTAGCTACTGCCTCTCCGGGACGGGGATTAACTACGGCAATGGAGATCCCCTCCTGTTGCTGTGGTGGTGTCTGCATCAAAGTGCTACAGTGGTGCAGCTGCAGTGTTCCTAGTGAAGACATAGCCTGTGTCTGCACTACAGACTTCTGCCAGCATAGCTCTGTTGGTCAGGAGTCTGAGATTCCCTGACTGACTGAGCTGTGTTGGCAAAAGTTTGTAGTGTGCATGCAGCTATACTAGTAAAATGATACTTTTATTGGGTTAGCCTGTTTTGCTCATGGGCGAGTGGATTTACCACACTGGTACAAAGCACAGTATAGCTGTGTCCACACTAGGTCTTCGCTGGGATAGCTTTGCTGGTATAGGATACTTGTATTCCTATACTGGTAAAGTGCTCCTAGTCTAGACATAATCTTAAGCTCCTAAGTCACTTACACACTTCTGAAATTTCTATCCTTTACCTTTGTGTGCCTCTGTCCCCATGTGTAAACGGAATTAGAATAATGACCTTGGTAAAGCATTTTGAGATCTGCAGTTGAAAAGTGAATATATAAGTGCCAGGTGCTCTTATTATTAGGAATAATTAAATTATCTCTCTTTTGCCACTGCACTTCAGTCTTCCCCTCTCAGCTGGCACAAGACGGAGCTCAGTTGAGCTTCACTAATAAACCTGCCCACCCCTGCAGTGCTGCTCTGACAGTAACATTCTCCCTGTCCTTTGCAATGAGATGGGGCTGTGTTGTTTCAAGACTGCACCCTTTCAAATATATTCCCATTTATTAACATTTAATACCGATATACAAATGTGCTCCACTCATGCTTCGTCTCCTCTGAAATGTGGCTATTGTGAGTGTAATGCAGAGAGTGCAGAGGGGAGATGAGCCAAGCTGTGACCACCAGGTTCTGCTGCTGCCAATGCCCTTTCCTTTCCAGTGGTGGTAAATCTTAGCCTCAGTCCCTAACCTGGCAGCTGTCTCTCTCCCCCTCCAAGTTCTCAGGGCAGCCTTCGCCTTGTTCACTATACCAGCTGCAGAAAGTTCAGAAATGGAAGAAGATGCCAGCTACCTGCTAATGGTGATTACATAACCCTGTGATGATGATCTTCCCAGCATAAAGGACTGCAGTATAAAACCATCAATAAAGGAGTGGAAAGACATAAAACTATAGATGTATAAAGATTGTCACAAGGTAGAAGTAACCCCAGGAAGAAGATCTATCATACAGTCAAGTCTATCAGAGGCCGGAGTTTACCCTTTGCATTTGCAGCCCCGACAAGTCTCGGAGTTTCTGCTTTTTTGGATTAATTTTAAAGACCTTTTTAAAGACTCTCCCTCTTGCAATGAAGGGCTTTGTTGTGTTTCAGTGAGATGTTCACAGCCTCACAAATGACTTCTCGACACCTCCTTCACTGAGATTGTCAGGTCTTGACAACCCTGCATTCCTATTGTCCTGATAGGCCCTGCGATCTGCGCGCCTTTACATTCAAAAAATACAAATAATCTGTCAATCCAGCAATAATCTCTGGTGGGAACTAAACTAGACCTTACCTTTGCTGTAGCAGCCCTGTTCGTGCCCGGTCCTCAGCATCCTCCCGGGCAGTTACGGGCTGGCTCTGCTTATCTACCTACGGATTGCCAAGCAACACCCACCACTCTCTTGAAACATTCATAAATGTCAACGTAGTCCCAAACGTCAGCTTCCCCAGTCTTGCTAATCCTCCCTGGGCCAAACACTAGTGCAAGGATCAGGTTACCCATCCCTTGTTTGCCTTCAGGTTTCTAAGTTCCAGTGAAATCAGGGCTAAATCGGGCTTGCCAATATAAGCACTGAAGGAAACACAGCTTTCAGTGACAAATATTTTTGTTAAAAAAGATACTTTTTTCAGTACAGTCCACACTCCTCCTCCTCTTCTCCTCTCCCTCCCCCCCAGCTCCCCTATTTGTGGAGTGCCTTTTGACTCAATAGCATAGGAATGCTATTAACTTGAACAAGTTGTGTGTGTGTGTGAGTATAAATATATAACTGTCCAAAGCTGCCAGGGGGACAAAACCTGTGGGTCATGTGCGCTGGGTAGAAAAAGCCTTGTATGGGATGAAATTAAAAAAAGGTTACTTCTGAAGTGCCAACTTTACACCTCTTTCTGATTTATCCATTAAATATTTCAGGGGAGGGAGGAATGTGAAAAAGTTCAGCTGTGCTTTCCTTCTGGACTGGGTGAGTTTGCAGCTCGTCTCCTGTTGGGGATCTGTTTGTGAGTACAGCTAGGCAACAGTCAGCTAGGGTGTCATCAGGAGAGGAAGGGGCATTACATCTGATAGGCCAAGGGCTGCTAATACAATGCAGCGTGTTACAGCAAGTCCAGAGAAGAGAGCTCGGCAACATTGTGACCCCTCATAGCTGCAGAGAAATGATATCCCTTTTTGGATTTGGTTAAGCACGACTCCCCACATCTGCTTCTCTTTGGTTAATTCAGGTCTGAAGGTTGGATGGATTCCTGTTTGTATGGGGCAATCTGAAAAAACGTTGTGTGTGT